GAAATGAATGTTTTGTGTCCTTTTACCTCTGGATTAATTTTCTTCATCCCTTTCTTGAAAACAGGTATGCCGAACTGTCTTGTTGGCTTATATCCAAAGAAAGCCAACTGAGGCTTCTGAGAAACCGAGCCAGTGACCCCAGAAAATACAATCAGGTTAAATCCACCATCACGGTGAGTCCCATTATTTGCCTTGCTCCTATTACGGTTTGTCATCCTGAGGAGATGAGACTGTTTACTAAGTCACTTAAAAAAGATGACACCTTTGGCCTCATAGGGTTTTATCGGCTTTTGATCTTGTTTGCAGGAGTTGAGAAATGAGGCAGAGCTACAGGAGGGGAACCTTGCTTGGCTAAAAGCCCGTATGGCTGTACTGATTGAAATCTGTGCTGACAGTGATGCCCAAAGGCAGGGAAGCACTTTGAACAAACTCTCTGCTGATTTTAAGGGTCTCCTTGCCTCTCTCGTTGAGGTAAGTCCCTTTTGTTCTTTTGGAAGACCTTTAATACTCCTTTTTCTGGTCATTTATAGTACCTTGCTGAATGCTTTGTCCTCCATCATTATTCTTGGAGCAAAGTTTGTATGTGGAGAACACCATTGCAACTATGAGATATCGGGTTGACAGGATGATTATATACAGGAGTTGGACAATGAAGCTGAAACACCTCTCATTTTAGTGTGGGAGGTTTTATGGCTAAATTTGACCAGCCTGGTGGCCAATCTTCATTAATTGTACATTGAACCAATAAGAGCAGAGTGTGAAGGTCCAATTAGCAGGGTAAGAGCACAGTTTTGCTCAAAATATTGCAATGCACACAACATTATGGGTGACATACCAGAGTTCAAAAGAAGTCAAATTGTTGGTGCACGTCTTGCTGGCGCATCTGTGACCAAGACAGCAAGTCTTTGTGATGTATCAAGAAGAGCCACGGTATCCAGGGTAATGTCAGCATACCACCAAGAAGGAAGAACCACACCCAACAGGATTAACTCTGGACGCAAGAGGAAGCTGTCTAAAAGGGATGTTCAGGTGCTAACCCGGATTGTATCTAAAATAAAAAAAACACGGCTGCCCAAATCACGGCAGAATTAGATGTGCACCTCAACTCTCCTGTTTCCAGCAAAACTGTCCGTCGGGAGCTCCCCAGGGTCAATATACACGGCCGGGCTGCTATAGCCAAACCTTTGGTCACTCGTGCCAATGCCAAACGTCGATTTCAATGGTGCAAGGAGCGCAAATCTTGGGCTGTGTGAAACATGTATTGTTCTCTGATGAGTCCACCTTTACTGTTTTCCCCACATCTGGGAGAGTTACGGTGTGGAGAAGCCCAAAGAAGCGTACCACCCAGACTGTTGCATGCCTAGAGTGAAACAGTGGGGTGGATCAGTGATGGTTTGGGCTGCCTATCATGGCATTCCCTTGGCCCCATACTTGTTCTAGATGGGCGCCTCACTGCAAAGGACTACCGAACATTTCTGGAGGACCATGTGCATCCAATGGTTCAAACATTGTATCTTGAAGGAGGTGCCGTGTATCACGATGACAATGCACCAATACACACAGCAAGACTGGTGAAAGATTGGTTTAATGAACGTGAAAGTGAAGTTGAACATATCTCATGGCCTGCACAGTCACCAGATCTAAATATTATTGAGCCACTTTGGCGTGTTTTGGAGGAGCGAGTCAGGAAACATTTTCCTCCACCAGCATCACGTCATGACCTGGCCACTATCCTGCAAGAAGAATGGCTTAACATCCCTCTGACCACTGTGCAGGACTTGTATATGTCATTCCCAAGAAGAATTGAAGCTGTTTTGGCCGCAAAAGGAGGCCCTACACCATAAAAAACAAAAACCAGGTGTTTCAGTTTCATTGTCCAACCCTTGTATATATTATTCAATGTTCATATTCATTACAAAGCTCTGTACTGTGGCAAATTTGTTAACAAAATGCTTGCTTGTTAAAGGATAACAATAAGAAATAAATTATCATATTTGTTGCGGTCAAAATTTTGTATTCTCACTTAAAAAAAGAAAGAAGGAAAACGGTTGCCCTAATGGTTCAATTTTGTATTGTTAAATAAACCAGTTTAAAGAATCTTAGTCAGCATCTGATCCATCAATTATAAACTATATATAATATGTCAAAAACGTTTTTCAATAGTTTAATGTAAATCTTCAAGTAGTTTTGTTAGCAGAAAACAATGTGTATGATAATTCTTTTCAAAGGCGGAGAAGATGGTGCTTGCAGTTGGGGATTGTGTGCAGTTCAGAGAGGAAGTACAGACGACTTTGGAGGATCTGGATCAGGGGCAGAAAGAAGCTCAGGCAGAGGCCACCAAAATACTGGATTGTTCTACTTCAAGAGAAGCCCAACAGCTGCTGCTCGTTCATCAGGTGCTGCATGACATAGACCGAATCTTCTATCTTTTTCTTTACCGACCTCCATGCTGCTTTATGTCTCGGCTCTCTGTGTTTCAACATATTAACATTTTGAATGAACTTCTCTTGATAACAGCAACAGTTAAAGCGACTAAAACTAAAAAGGAAGGATGTCCAGCAGCTGATCACCAGAGGCCAGCAACTCCAGTCTGAAGAAGGACTGGGAGAGACTCTGCAGCAGGACCTGCAGACTTTAGAAAACACACTAAGCAAAATGGAGCAGAGTATGGATTCACAGGAACAAAACCTCGAGGTGAACACAGTCACTAAGAAAGATTATGAAGATGTATTCACCTTAACATGCCAAACGGGTGGAGCAGTTGTAACTGATGACAGCTGGGTCAAGTATAATTGAGAATCATGATTTTTCAAACCATTGAAAATACTTCTACTTTTGATATTTGTTATTTTTCAGGTTACTCTGGCCGCCTGGCAGGAGTTTGACAGTCAGCAGGAAGCAGTGCATGAGTTTGTCAACAAAGCCCGCTCCACAGTAGAGAGAGATGTTAACTTCAGCAGTCCTGAGAGCCTTGCCGTTGAACTGGATCAGGCAAATGTAAGAACATTTGGTTTAAATAGTAACAAACCTTTTTTAGACCGACTCAGTTCTTTTGCTATAAGGGAAAAGAATAGGTAATTCTCCTTATATGTATTGGAAATTTGATGATTTTGTGAACAGGTGATGCTGAAGCAGTGCGAAGCGGAAGTCTTACACATGAACACCTTACAGAAGAGAGCAACAGAAATCCAGCTTGGTGCAAAAAGCAAATCTCTTCTTCTACAGCAAGCTCGTTCTCTCAGTGAGCAGGTGGACGAAGTAGAAACCAGACTGAAGGAAGAGTAAGTTAAATATGTTCTCCAGGTTTTAAGATAGAAAATGTACTCAAATTTCTGATATATTAATTGTAAATCTATATAATTGCATTTTAATACATTATTGTTATGAAACAATATAAACAAGTGTTTCAAGGAAAATCAATCAACTACGAGTGACCCACAAAAATTCGGTGTGCATAAGGGGAAGGTAATGCTAATAATTATTATTTAGAAAGTAATAATATAGATAACGATGGTGAGTATTAGCTTTGTGCATTTTACATAAGTACCAGAAAGTGCTACAACACAAAAAATGTGTTAAATCTAAGGCTGATTTATACTTCGAAACTAGGTCGTCTGCATAGGTGTCGCGGTGAAGACGTCCCCGCCCCCTCTGCAGACACTCTGCTGCTGCTCTCCCAAGTTTAGGTGACCGCAGACAGGAGGCCTCTGATTGGTCAAATCTACATCCGTTCTACACTATGCGTATCTCCTGTTTGGTATCTTATTGGCTTGTTTTGTTTGTATGACTGCGATTGCAGAAAATTACTCATGTAGACAGACCAGCTAGAAGAGTGAGGTGCGTGAGAACACTAGGACCCTTTTTGCTTCTGGATCCCCGCTCTTTTTCGCCCTGATGTCCCTCCGTTGTCCTCACCGCCTCTGCCGTATCTACACCCACAGCTAATTCGTGATTTTTCTCCTTTTGCGTTGTGGCGTGGAATAAACATAGCACCGACCACGCTTCAATATTGAGCATAAATAAAAAATGTCTGCATCATAACAGCGACAAGCTCACCGCGACACACTGCTACGGGAGTATAACCAGACTAAACATCAATCATAAAACCTGGGAAAGTTCTATCTGACTGTCCTCTTACAGACATGATCCACTGTCAGCAAATTTAACCTCTAAATGGCTGAATTTACGTGTCACAACATCCTCTTGATCCAAATATTGCCAATAATCTCATAGAACAGTAATAAAAACAGAGCTACATATTCATGAAGGCACACACTGTTCCACTAAGTTTGCCAACAGAATGCTTTTGTTGCTTTTATGATTAGCTCTGAATGACAAAACTAGTTTGAATATGTTTATCATACATGCAGGCTTTTATAAGATCAGGGCTTATGTGCTTTACTGTGTGTTATTTTTAAAATCTCCTGAGTTAATTAGTCCTTTTTTCCCCAGGGTGAAGAATCTGGAGGAAATGAAAAATCAGTGGGATCGATTTGGAATCGGATTTATTTCATTTTCCTCATGGATTTCTGAAAAGGAGAAGCAGCTAGATGCAATAAAATCCTCAAATTTGCCTCTTGAGGAGCAGATCAAAGCACTTAAGGTAACGTGTGGTTAAACATTAAGCTACAGTTCTCAACATCAACAATTTATACCACCTTAAGCACACCTTACACATGTTTTAATCCTGTTAACTTCATTGTTCTTCTTATTTCATGCTTCTGTAATGCCATTGGTATAATTGTATTTCTTAAGCCCTTCTTCCCATCCAGCTGCCACTATAAATTATTTTGGTTTCCATAATGCTGTCACTTAAAGACAGTATTAGGGCTCCTTAGTTTCTTACTCTGCCTGCTGGATCCTGCTGTCGCTGTCTTCCTGTTTCTTTATGTTTTCCTCATGTGATGCAAATTTTCTCATCATTATATTCTCCGAGAATTGTAATACACCTGGTGGTGCAACCTGGACACATCTTCAGTGACTCTCCTGAGATCACTGGGTGTTTCAGCCGGGGGGAGATCAGTTCCCCGACTTGTGTCCAGGTAGCGCACTACGCCACGCCTCCCCCCTCCTCAACCAGAGCCACCGTGAAGCCTTTTCAGCTGCTTTCAAGATGTTCTTGGTGGCTCTTCGCCTCAGAACTCAAATCCCTAGGACTCCTAGGATAGGCTAGGCTTGCAGCAGGCCTTCCAGCCATTCCTTCGGCACTCAGCCACAAGTTCTGCATATTTAGCCCCCTTCCTCTCCTGGGCTTCCTCTATTCTGTCCTCCCACGGAACAGTTAGTTCAAGCATCACAACCTGTCTGGTGGAAGTTGATGACAGCACCATGTCCGGGCGGAGTGTCGTGGCTGCGATGTAATCCGGGAATCGCAACTGCCTCCCCAGATCGACCAAGAGCTGTCAGTCTTTTGCTGTCTTGAGCAGTCCCCCTTGGGTTTTCTTGGAGGGTTGCAGTTTCTCCCCTGCTCAAACAAAGGCAATCATGCTCCTGGTTAGAGGTCAACTCTTGCTGGTGTTTATTCCAGTGCAGATGGTGTCCGCTATTGCCCGCAGGACCTGGTCATGGCGCCAGCAGTATCTGCCATCTTCCAGGGCCTTTAGGCAGCAGCTTAGGATGGGTTTAAGAGACCCTTTCTTCTGGCAGAGCTGACACACAGGTGAGTCTATCAGGCCCCAGGTGAAGAGGTTAGTGGGGCTTGGGAGGATATCATACACCGCTTGGACGATGAACCTGAAATGATGTGGCTCCGCCCTCCATACATAAGTCCAGGTGATCTTACGGCTGGAAAATGCTCCCACTTGGTCCGGGCCCCCGGCTTGCTCATGCCCACCACCCTTCTGAAGTGAGCCCCTTCCACCTCTGCCTAAACCTCCTCTTGGATGAACTTACACCTGTCTTTCCCTGTCACTCTACTGAAGCAGGGCTTCGGGTTGCTGCCCAGCCCTGCCTGCCTTGTGGCCACTGTACCCACCAGGGTGCTATGACACAGCCTCGCCTCGGCTCTCTCCACTGCATCCTTGGCACGCGACTTCCTTCCAGTGCCGATCTCTATTCCTGCTGAAGACATCTTCC